CATGTAAGTAAAGCATGCGGTCTATGCAAGCAATGTGTAGAGAAAGGAACTTGAAATTGAACACGTGTAAGTAAAGCATGCGGTCTACGCAAGCAATGTGTAGAGAAATGAACTTGAACACATGTAACTAAAGCATGCGGTCTACGCAAGCAATGTGTATAGAAACTTGAAATTGAACACATGTAAGTGAAACATGCGGTCTACGCAAGCAATGTGTAGAGAAAGGAACTTGAACACATGTAAGTAAAGCATGCGGTCTACGCAAGCAATGTGTATAGAAACGAACTTGAAATTGAACACCTGTAAGTAAAGCATGCGGTCTACGCAAGCAATGTGTATAGAAACTTGAAATATGGTAAGGACCAGTTATTCATGATGTTGAAATGCCAAGCACTGTAACATGGTATAATTGAAGTGATTTGTGGAATTCACAAGATACGAAAAGGATACGGGAAGGGACGTTCCTTGCACGTACCGAGCATCGCTCATAGAAGACACGGCTTGAGGTCAACTCAAAGGCCTACTAATGTTCCGAAAGTGTACTTTCTTGCACTGTCTCGAGTAATGAAGGCGCCAAACCACATAGTTGACCTGAACAAGGGCGCGTGAGGTGCATTGACCACAAGGGGAGGTTACCAGTATCAATTCTGATACTTTGCTGCCCCGCTCTTCTTTTTTGCTTTACTTTCCTTTTTACTAGTAGTTTAAACACATTGCACTACCTTAGGCAGGTTTTACCTTTTCAAAAAAAAAAAAATGTGTATTTTGCAAAACACATGAGGGAAATGAAACAACCATTTTGTTCAAAATGATGTTACATTTGTGCTTCCTATGCATCGCATCGCATGGTATCACATAACAATGTGAATGGAATTGAACTTGGTTTGAAAATTGAGCATTCGCATCGTAATAATTAGGTAGTGAACTGACTTACAACTCGATAAGCAAAGCAAGGAAACTGAATAAACTAGCCAAGTGCGAGTATAACTCGACAAGCAACAAAGACTTGAAAAGAGTGAAATACAACTCGATAAGCAAATTTACAACAACTCGATAAGGAAATGGGCGTGACACCGCAAAATCCATCATCGGAGGGCCTTGGAAGTGGTGCCATTCTCCAAATTCTCAGCATGTTTCAACATATAAACATCTCAGGGAGCAAAGAGGAAGACCACCAGCCACGGGAGAAATCCACCGGCCTCAAGAAATGGCCATCGACCAAAATCTTTGATCTATCAGCCAAAAGTGGTGATCGGTCGGCACTATATTTGGCCGGCCGGCTATGAATGAAAGGATCACCAGAATGTTGACACCTGTCTTCCACTCAATCTTATCCCCTACAAAAGGCCCCAGCTTCGTAGTTCTACTCAATTCAACACTGATTTGCTCGAAATGGAGGGATTTCTTGCCCAGAATCTCTCGTCCTGGATTAACAACTTGGATGGCTCGGAAAAGCTGAATTTCTGGGGTTTCGGCATAAATGCACTATTCACTCTGAGTCGCACTCCGCTGCACTTTCCGTTCATGCTGCAGCGAGGTTTTGGAACTAGGTGACTCATGTCTTTAGCTTTAGCGGGCAAGAGGTATGCCCTACCTTCGAAGAATTTCAAGCTTTAATGGAATCTGAACGTGACGAGGAGATCTTACCCCAGCTTAACTTTGGTCATGTTCAGACCTTAGGGCGAATGTGTGGACTCACTACGTATGACGCTCGATCTCTGATTTGTGACGGAATGCTAGATATTCCGAGTTTGATTCATCGGTTTTCGAATACCGCTGATCGCGGCGACCATCATTGGCAAGGCTTCCGGTGACATGCCCTCTGTTTGTGCTTGCTATCTCATTTTCTGTTTTCCTCAGGCTCTGGGGGATCTAGCGTCCAATTGATCGAGGTTGCCCTAGGCTTGAAGGAGGGCAAGAGCTGCATTGCCATGACTCTAGCAGAGACGTTGATGGGCTTAGATGCCTTTTATCATCGAGAGACGACCAGATTTGCGAGGAGTCCACACTGCTGTAGGTAATGTTTCCCACCCACTCTTACATATGTATTGCTCACGTCACTCGACCCTCAAGCTCGGTTTTTCTCACAAAAATCCCTTTTCTCACTTTTCTCTCATCGTACTTCTCTCTATTCTTTATTCTCTCATTTTTCATCCCTTCCCAGGTGTGGTTGATGGACAAGTTGTAGGTTGTGGACTCTTGCCCAGCATATTCAGCTCGTGGCTACTTCTTCAGACAATGTCTGGTTGACGCCCTTGATAAGGGTTGGTGGTTCAACTGGATGTGAAATTTATCTGCCAACGTCATTGCTTGGTGGTGCCCTTGGCTCAATTTACCGGCAATGGGCTACAGCATGTCCTGGCAGACTGGGATTCAGTTGATTGGCTTTACTCACTGTGTGTTCTATTTCCCATTCCGGTTCCGACGCCAGTTCGGCCATGACCATATTTGCCCCGCAGAGGGGATAGAATATCCAGCTGCCTTTCCATTTCGAGGTGCGCAGCTTGTTCGGCAGGCCACAGCGTGGAGGACAAGAGAACTCCTGGCCCCCACTCCTACTTTCAGTTGCACTTTGTCTGATGAGTGCTTGGATTGGCTCAATGAAGAGGCACAGGAAAGGCCCACTTTAGCATCAGAGGCTTCAACCAGCTCTGGGAGGGGGCACAGGAACACCTGACTTGACTATGCCCCGAATTTATTGCTTTATTTAGTACTTTCACGTTTTCCTTATGAATGTAATAAAAAAAAGCAACTTCAATTTGCATGCAAGAGCAGGAGGACTCTGCACTGAAATCAATGAACTTTGAAGGTTGTGGTACTGAAAATTTCCCATTTTGGCCTAGAGATGGTCTTAGTTGTAAAAAGATTAATTTGAACAAAGTCAACTTTTATCAAAACTTTTCAAAACTATTTTCGATATGGATCAGAACTGGACACGCCTGAGATCTGTCACCGAGACGCACAAACCCCGGATCCCAGCAACTGGAAAGTTGCCCCTAGTCTGAATAGTACCGTAGCACTGCATGGCAACGAAAAGTTGCCCCTAGTCTGAAAAACACTGTACCGGAGATCATGACCGAACTCTTGTATGCTGAATAGACGAAGATGACCGAGATGATCAAATGGACAAAGCTGATGAGGGAAAAGTTTATGGCTGAACTTCAGGATGAAGCTACCTACGTATCCCAAAGATGGGAATCAAGCCGTACGTAGTTCAGGCTTGGGTTCACTCGAGTATTTTCGCTCTCCTTTTATGCTCTAACTTTTGCCAAGGCCGCCCTTTGCAGGTTTTCAACCTTGCGAGCTCAGTTTTTTTATATTTTCCAATTTTTTCAATGCTCTAACTTTTGCCTAGGTCGCCCTTTCGGGTTTTCGGCCTAGCGAGCCTCTCAGGGATAATATTTCTTCAACTTGTCCATGTTGATCGGTTGGGACTAGATAAGGGCTTTATACGTCCTAGTGTTTCGCTATGGGGAGCATCGGCCCTATTTGTTAAAAAGAAAGGTGGTGCTTTGAGACTTTGTATAGATTACCGGAAATTGAATCGGGCTACGGTTAAGAATAAGTACCCTATGCCTCGTATAGAAGTTATTTGACAGCTCAAGTGATCATTTGTGCGCTTGAGCGATGAAGTGGAGCTTTTAGTATTCCAGCATGTATTTAGAACTTTTGGAAAACTTGTTTTACTGCTCGAGCGGTGAAGTGTGCTCTCGAGTGGTTAGACTATATGTTTTGCATTGCATTTACTCACATCGCTCGAGTGGTACAGTGTATGCTCGAGAAGTCCTCGCGACTCTATTTTCTATAAAATGTAGCGTTTGCTGTTTTTAGGGTTTAACCAGTCCAGATTCTCAAAAAAGTGAAAAATACAAGGTGTTTTACATTAGAGGGTCATTTATATGAGTTTCCTTAATGTATAAAAGATGATCGATTGATTAACGAACTACATAGTGTCAAACATCAAGGGTTATTTTCGTTCTTTTAATCACATAAAGAGAAATGTGTTATTTAGTGGATTCCATGGAACTTGGGCCTGAAGGTTTAGTGGATTCTAGAGTGGTTCATCGTCGTGGATTTGACATCGGCGTTGTGGATTCAATGTTGACAAAGGAGTTCTGAGTTGAAGATGGTGGTGGAAGGGGTACATCAGGTTTGGTTCAATTCGGACGTAGATTCGTTAGGTAATTGAAAGTACTCATGTATAATTCCTTTACGTCTTCTTAGTTGATTGTTTTGTGGTTTTGGCCAGTTATTTTTTTATTACAATTGGAGATGCTCCAATTGTAATTTTTTTCACGTTAAATCGTTGCGCCGGTTTGTCATTGATTGTTTTTATTGGGATTGATATTCACTCTTTAAAATTGAAAATAATCAGAGCAAGTCGCTCAACCTTTGTTTTTCAAAACTAAGGAGTAAGATCTTGTTTGATTTGTGATAATAGATTCAATTAATGAGGGGAATTTTACAGTTCAACCACCCATACTTGATGGATTCAAATATTATTTTTGAAATGCTCAGATAAGAGCATTTTTAAAAGTTATTGATGAACAAGTTTGGCTTTCTGTCATGTCCAAGTGTGTCACGCCCCACTTTTTACCCTTTTTCTTTTATTACTTGAATAATATTACCATATCCTTTAATCAGTCCATTTCAATAATAATAAATATATGAAAACAATAAAAAATGAATAATTTATAATGTTCATTTTCCTTTACATGCAATGAATTACGATACACACACATAGCCTTACATTATCAAGTACAGATAAATGAAAATAAGAAAAAGGGTTAACCCTTTTTACAACACATTGGTATTCCGCTTATAATTATAAAGCCTCATAACCAACAAATAAAAGACTTCAAGTCTTGTGCAAGTCTTCACTTCATACTTGAAAAATGATTAGTAGGATGAACACAAAGGTCTAGTAAAGATCTCAATGATCCTAGACAATAGCAATACATAGATAACTATGATAATAAATACTCTACTAACGTTTATACATTGTTGCGAGTTTGAAATCCAACCAGTCAAGTAATGTTCAAAAGTCTAAAAAGATTTTGTTTTATTCATGTATTGTGCAAAATCTACTCAATCATGGTTAAGTCATATTATGCCATGTTTCCTTGATTGGCATGTTGTGAATAATATCATCTCTATTTCATTCTTATTGAATGAATATATCAGTGTTTATTCCTTTATTCATGATAGTTGCATTGAGCCTTATTTCAGTCTTTAGTTTGCTTGTCATGCATCTTGTACTTGTCTTGTATCAGGCTGTCAAAAAGCAAGATGTCCTACCTTCACCTGTTCTATGGCATGAGAAATCGTCCCTTCTTGGACGCATAGTTCCTAAAAGGTGAGAGCTTCCAGATTTGTCCTTTTCTTTTGTAGTAATTACGTGTTGGATCCATGAGCCTGCTTGCAACCAAAAGCTAGTTCATTTTATGCGAAGGCTCGAGCCAAACAGATAAGGCTTCCACTCCTTTTAATATGAGTTAGCTAGAGTAATTTAAACGCCCGTTTCCTATATAGTTGAATGCATGTCCTGATTATTTGCATAAAATGGTTGCCCTTAACCCACATGCTTGTGCTTATGGGCTGAAGCTTAACCGCTGGTCCATTGCACAAGGCATTGGTTCCATGACTCAAATAGCATCATTAAATGAAAGTTTGTTGATCCCTACTTGAACTATACAAGTATTAAGCAGATATTTCAAAACTCAAAAAGTTTTTTAAAATCAAGCTCAAGCAACCAAATACTTGGTTTGAATTGGATCATTTACAGCTCCATTTACAAAAAAAACATGATCTCATACCCAATTAAGCAATGATTCAGGTCACTTGACTCTGTTAATGTTACTTGGTCTATGTTTTATTAGACACCATTCCTTGTATTTGTTCTCATGTCTTCTGCTACACTTTGTGAACCTTTCAAGGCCACCCATCCCCGAGTCTGTCTCTGGTCATTCTCTTGCAAAATTGGCTCATTAGCTTGCTTGTAACTATTATCTTGCAAAGCAACCAGTAAGCCACAGATGCATGAAAGTTGTCAACCATGGAGGTGTGGATGTTCTGACTTGCCAATCAAACTTGAAGGCGGCAGTTTGTGGGAAGGAACTGGATGGAGGCAGTGAAAATTACATTACTACTGAATCTAGAAAAATGAAACGGAACAGAGGTAGTCATCGGAGTAATAAACTCGGCAACCAAATAGGTGTGGATGATCCGACCTGCCAGTCAAACTTGAAAGCAACAGTTTGTGGGAAGGAACTAAATGGAGGCAGTGAAACCTGCACTGCTATTGATTATAAAAAAAGGAAACGGAACAGAGATCGCCGACTTCGCCGAATCAATAAGCGAAAGTTAATGTCGACGACAAATTTAGAAGTAAAAAGAGAACTTAATGGTAGCTCAAATAATGAATCATTGACAAATTAGATAATCTCTTAATAGTTGTCGATATGTTTAGAAAATTAGATATGCATAGTTTTGGATGGTTTAAACTCTTTGTACAGTTTAGAACTTATAGTTTTCGAATGTTTGGAATGTGAAGACAATTGTTGAAAGTTTATAATTTATCGATATAGTTTCTTTGTGATGTTTCAAACAATATTTTGGTGGTTGATTGATGTTTTGTGATGCTTGTTTGTAATGTTTGTTAGATTGTATAAAATTGGTCAAATAGAACCTGCTGAATTTAAAAAAAAATAATAAAAAAAATTGCACATTTTACGACAGATATAATAAGTTGTTATATTACATATTTTATGGTGCGCAATTAGCGTCGTTATTTGTCTCACCAATTAATGGCGTGCAAAAATAGTCGTAGAAAAAGTAACAATGACGCACAAAATCTGTTGTTAAATAGTTTTTTACGACGTAATATAACATGTCGTAGAAAAAGTAACGACGTATAAAATTTGTTGTTAAATAGTTTTTAACGGCGTACGAAATATGTTGTTGAAAATGAATGACTTTCCATGACCGGTCATAATATGACGTGCATTTGCATGTCGTAGAAGGGTTTTTACGGCGCGCACGCCGTAAAAACCCTTTTTTGTTGTAGTGCACGAAAGGAGATTGCCAAGGTGCTAGTGGAGTACAAAGACATCATGTCTCCTGAGTTGCCTAATAGACTTCCACCTACGAGGGAAGTGGACTAAAAGATTGAGATGGAGCTAGGCGCCAAGCCACTAGCAATGGCATCGTACCGAATGTCCCCACCAGAGTTGGAGGAACTAAGGAGACAACTAAAAGACTTGCTGGATGCGGACTTCATTCAACCATCAAAGGTACCATATGGAGCATCGGTGTTGTTTCAGAAGAAGCACGATGGATCATTGCAGCTATGCATCGACTACCGGGTTCTCAACAATGTAACCATCAAAAAAAAATATCCTATTCCTTTGATTGTCGATCTATTTGACCAATTTGGGCATGCAAAGTTCTTTTCTAAGCTTCATCTAAGGTCGGGGTACTATCAAGTGTGGATTGGCACAAGTTGGTCAAGTCTGGTACCAACAATCACAGTAATTCCAGCTCTAATAGTGTATATTTAAGTTGTTGCAGTTAAAAAACTCATAGTTGCATTTTGGGTTAGGTTGACCAGTCTGCCACGACTGTGCACTGGGTGTCTTGTCCTTTCTGCCGGCGATGTGCTCTTGGTCTTAATTGGCCAGGTTGTGCCTCCGACACTTTTACTTTGAAGAAATTAGAGTCTTCAAAGCAAGCCTACGCTTTGGATACATTAGCATGGGATAACATCATAGGATTCGATCCTGTTACGTTGGCCCTCAGGATCGGAGTAATGATTAACAAGGACAGTCGGGGGCATTCGTATTTCATAGTCAAATGTGAAATTCTTGGATTTATGAAAGATAAACAACCGCGGAAGCATTTGCCAAGGATGTTTTCATTAATCAAGAATGAAAGTTAGGTCTCGAAGACGATCAGATACCGTTCTAGTCTCAACCATAAATGATGCCAACCAGGGATCAATGGATGTTACTATTAGGACTCTGCTGGCACCTTATGAGAAATCAAAGTTTTTGGGTTTCGGGGGGAGTATGGTCGCAAGGTTGAAACTCAAAGGAATTGGTGGAAGGGCACCACCAGGAGTGGAGCCTGCAGCTTAATTTGACTCAACATGGGGAAACTTACTAGGACCAAACATAGTATGGATTGATAGATTGAGAGATCTCTCTTGATTCTATGGGTGGTGGTGCATGGTCGTTCTTAGTTAGTGGAGCGATTTGTCTGGTTAATTCCATTAATGAATGAGACCTCAGCCTGCTAACTAGCTATGTGGAGGTGACCCTCCACAGCTAGATTCTTAGAGGGACTATGGCCCTTCAAGCCACGGAAGTTTGAGGCAATAATAGGTCTATGATGCCCTTAGATGTTCTAGGCTGCACGCGCGCTACACTGAAGTATTCAACGAGTCTATAGCCTTGCCTGATAAGCACGGGTAATCTTTGAAATTTTATCATGATGGGGATAGATCATTGCCATTACTGGTCTTCAACAAGAAATTCCTAGTAAGCACGAGTCATTAGCTCCCGTTGACTACGTCCTTGCCCTTTGTACACACGACCCGTCGCTTCTACCAATTGAATAGTTTGGTGAAGTGTTTGGGTCGCGGCAACGTGGGCAGTTCGCTACTGGCGACATCGTGAGAAGTCCACTGAGCCTTATCATTTAGAGGAAAGAGAAGTTGTAACAAGGTTTCCATAGGTGAACCAACGGAAGGATCATTGTTGATGCCTGCGCAGTAGAACGACCCGCGAACTTGTGATTACTGCTGTAGAAGCAGGAGGCGGGTCGTCGGCTCCCTACTATTTCCCCACTTGTCGAGTGGTGCTTGATAAACTGTTGTGTTGTGTCGCGCACATCCCAGTCATCACAGGAGGTCTGCTGTAACCCTATTATGCCGTTGCCAAGGCGCTTCGATTGCAACCCCAAGTCAGGCGGGATTACCTGCTGAGTTTAAACATATCAATAAGCGGAGGAAAAGAAACTTACAAGGATTCCCTTAGTAATGGCGAGTGAACCGGGAAGCACCCAGAATGAAAATCGAGCAACCCCGTTGTAGAAATTGTAGTCTAGAGAAGAGTCCTCAGCAGCGTACTGAGCTCAAATCCTCTGGAGAGGGGCACCGGAGATGGTGAGAGCCCCGTCGTGCCCAAACCCTGTCACATCACGGGGTATTGTCTGCGAGTCGGGTTGTTTAGGAATGCAACCCTAATCGGGCGGCAAATTTCGTCCAAGGCTAAATATGGGCGAGAGACCGATAGTAAACAAGTACCGCGAGGGAAAGGTGAAAAGGACTTTGAAAAGAGAGTTAAATAATGCTTGAAATTGTTGGGAGGGAAGGGGATGGGAGCGGGCGATATGCCCTAGTCGGATGTGGAACAGCAACTAGCCGGTCCGCCGATCGACTCCGGTCATGGATAGGTGCAGATTGGGGTGGAGGCCAAAGCCTGGGCAGTCGAAAAGCCCGTAGAGATGTCTTCTCCTCGATCATGGCTGGCAGCGCACGCCCTTGGTGTGCTTCGGCATCTGCATGCTTCTGACACCAACCTACGAACTCTGCATTTGGCCCGTCTTGAAACACGAACCAAGGAGTCTGACATGTATGCGAGTCAACGGATGAGTAAACTCGTAAGGCGCAAGGAAGTTGATTGACGGGATCCCCTCGCGGATTGCACCGTTGATGGACCTTGATCTTTTAAGAAGGGTTCAAGTCTGAGCATACCTATCGGGACATGAAAGATGGTGAACTATGCCTAAGTGCGGCGAAGCCAGAGGAAACACTGGTGAAGGCCCGCAATGATACTAACGTGCAAATCGTTGGTCTGACTTGGGTATAGGGGCGAAAGACTAATCAAACCGTATAGTAGCTGGTTCCCTCTGAAGTTTCCCTCAGGGTAGTTGGAGCTTGGGTGCGAGTTCTATCAAGTAAAGCCAATGATTAGAGGCATCGGGGGTTCAACGCCCTTAACCTATTCTCAAACTTTAAATAGGTAGGATGACACGGCTGCTCCTTTGATCCGCGCCACGAAATCGAGAGCTCTAAGTGGGCCACTTTTGGTAAGTAGAACTGGCGACACGGGATGAACCGAAAACCAGGTTACGGTGCCCAACTGTGTGCTAACCTATAACCCATATAGGGTGTTGGTTGATTAAGATAGCAGGATGGTGGCCATGGAAATTGAAATACGCTAAGTAGTGTGTAACAACTCACCTGCCGAATCCACTATCCCCGAAAATGGATGGTGCTTAAGCACGCAACCTATACCCGGCCGTCGAGGCAAGTGCCAGGCCCCGATGAGTAGGAGGGCACAATGGTCGCTGCAAAACCTTGGGTGCGAATGGCCATTGGTGTAGATCTTGGTGGTAGTAGCAGATATTCAAATGAGAACATTAAAGGTCGAAGAGGGGAAGGATTCCATCTGAACGGCACTTGCAAATGGGTTAGTCGATCCTAAGAGTTGGGAGAAGCCCGATAGAGTGCGTTTTTAACATGAGCTTTGAAAGGGAATCGGGTTAAAATTACTGAACCGAGACATGGTGGCTGACGGCAATGTTAGGGAGTCCAGAGACGTTGGTGGAGGCCGTGGGAAGAGTTATCTTTTCTGTTTAACAGCTTGCCTACCCTGGAAACGGCTCAACCAGAGGTAGGGTCCATCGACTGGAAGAGCACCGCACGTCGCATGGTGTCTAGTGCGCCCCTGGCGGCCCTTGAAAATCCAGAGGAATGAGTGCCTCCACCCCCGATCGCACTCATAACCGCATCAAGTCTCCAAGGTGAACATCCTATAGTCGATATAACAATGTAGGCAAGAGAAGTCGGCAAAATGGATCTGTAACTTTGAGAAAAGGATTGGCTCTGAGGATAGGGCACGGGAGTCCTAGTCTTGAACCCGTCGGCTTTCAGCGGACTACTTGAGATGCACCCGCGGTGAGAGCAGGTTGTTGCGTTTTGGTTGGGGGACAGATTGGGAACAGTTTCTTGCGGGGCCTTCCCTGGGCAGCGAACAATCGACTCAGAATTGGTACAAACAAAGTGAATCCAACTATTTAATTAAAACAAAGCATTGCGATGGTCCCTACGAATACTCATGCAATGTGATTTCTACCCAGTGCTCTGAATGTCAAAGTGAAGAAATTCAACCAAGTGCGGGTAAACAGCGAGAGTAACTATGACTCTCTTAAGGTAGCCAAATGCCTCGTCATCTAATTAGTGACGCACATGAATGGATTAACGAGATTCCCACTATCCTCGTCTACTATCCAGTGAAACCATAGCCAAGGGAATGGGCTTAGTAGAATTAGCAGGGAAAGAAGATCTTGTTGAGCTTGACTCTAGTCCGACTTTGTGAAATGACTTGCGAGGTGTAGGATAAGTGGGAGCCAGAAATGGAAAAAGTGAAATACCACTACTTTTAACATTATTTTACTTATTCCATGAATCGGAGGGAGGGCATTGCCCCTCTTTTTGGACCCAAGTCCCGCCATGGGCGGAAGACATTGTCAGGTGGAGAGTTTGGCCGGGGGCGGTGCATCTATTAAAAGATAATGCAGGTGTCCTAAGATAAGCTCAACGAGAACAGAAATCTCGTGTGGAACAAAAAGGTAAAAGCTCGTTTGATTTTGATTTCCAGTACGAATATGAAACCCTGAAAGCGTGGCTTAACGATCCTTTAGACCTTCAGAATTTGAAGTTAGATAACTGGCTTGTGGTAACCAAGCGTTCATAGCGATGTTGCTTTTTGATCCTTCGATGTCGGCTCTTCCTATCATTGTTAAGCAGAATTCACCAAGTGTTGGATTGTTCACCCACTAATAGGAAATGTGAGCTGGGTTTAGACCATCGTGAGACAGGTTTGTTTTACCCTACTAATGGCAGCGTCGTAATAGTAATTCAACCTAGTATGAGAGGAACCGTTGATTCACATAATTAGTCATCGCGATTAGTTGAAAAGCCAGTGGCGTGAAGCTACCGTGCGATGGATTATGATTGAACGCCTTTAAGTTAGAATTCGGGCTAAAAGCGACGCTTGTGCTCGTCGCCCACTTGCCGACCCGCAATAGGGGTCGTCCGTCCCCTAAAGGCACGTGTTGTTGGTAAAGCTTGCGGAGCAGATGAGTTATGCGGGCCCCTTTAAAGTACAATTCTTATCTCGAGCAGTGGGTAGAATCCTTTACAGATAACTTTAATACATGACGGGGTATTGTAAGTGGTAGAGTGGCCTTGTCGACACGATCCACTGAGATTCAATCCTGTGTCGCTTTGATTCATCCCTCCCCCCTCCCTGTTCCTCCTTTGACCAATTGCCCGTGAGGTTTAGAACATATAATATAGCCTTAGTGTGTGCCTCGACACACAAAAATGATTTACTTGCATGCCGAAAAGAAATTCCTAAGGCCTACGGGGTTTGTTAACACTTTTCATTAAGTTGGGCGTCGGCAGCACGTTCGAACGAAGGCTTTAATATGCACGACGGCTTGGCTTACGGAACTTGGTAAGGTTGTGGCTGGCTGCTCAGTTTGTGGCCAGAGCTGTGTCCAAGGTAGGGCTTGTGGCATGGGCCACGTCCTGGCTTGCATGTCTACGACCAAGGTTGTAATTCTTGGCAAGGTTGCGGCCTGGACGGCAGCACTTGGCATGGCCGCGGCCTGGCTTGCATGCACGTAGCCAGGGTTGCGGCCAAGGCTGTGGCACTTGGCAAGGCTGCAACCTCACTTACATGCCCGCGGCCTGGGCTGTAACACTTGGCAAGGCTGGGACCAGGGCTTTGGCCTAGCTTGCATGTGTGCGGCATGGGCCGGGTCGGGCTTGGCTTGCACGCTTGCACCCAATGTTGTAGTACTTGGCAAGGTCGCGGCCTCACTTGCATGCGTGCAGCCTAGGGCGGCAGCACTTGGCAAGGCCGCGACCTAGCTTGCATGCACGTGACTTGGGCTGCGGTGAAGGTTGTAGCACTTGGCAAGGCCGCAGATTCACTTGCATGCACGCGGCCTGGGTTGCGGCACTTGCCAAGGCCGTGGCTTGGCTTGCATATACGCGACTAGGGCTTCGGCTAAGGCTTCTGCACTTGCCAAGGCCGTGCGCCGGCAGGCATGCGCGTGGCAAAGGTTGTGGCACTTGGCAAGGCTGCTGTCTCACTTGCATACGTGTTGCCTGAACTGTGCCCGTTGGCAAGGCCGCGGCCTGGCTTGCATGCTCGCCGCGAAGGCTGTGGCACTTGACAAGCCTGTTGCATTTGGCAAGGCCGTGACACTTGACAATGTTGAGGTCTAGCATGTGTGCGCTCAGCCTGGGTTGCAGCACTAGGCAAGATATCAAGGTGTGCCAATCCAAGGGTCAACACCTTGATGCCACACACATTTGTGCCCTTTGGAGAGCCAAAGACATGCCCAAGAAGTTATTGGTGCAAGTACAAGGAAAGGCCCAACGCATAATGCAAGAATAGCCCACGGCATGCCAAGAGATAGCATATGCTAAGCCGCAGCCGGTAGTAGAACAACTTAGGTTCATGTCGTCAAGGTGCCTAGCCACACAACAATGTGCTAGTGAAGGCCCTCGACTTAGCCGACAAGCCTACATTGCATGTTGGGTCTTTGATAGCATCTCGAAGTGCCACAGGGTCAAGCATGCCTCAATAGATGCATATTGGATGGCCACTTGGTCATGTGAAGCCCACAAGCCACCGATGGTTAATCTCTTGCCCACGGCATAGTCCTCGTGCCAACATGTGTATTAGATTCCGCACAAGGCCATTGTGCACCTTAGCGTTGCACCAACGTGTAGCATGAGTAAGGCAATGTCCCAATCCGTAGCTCGCTCGTAGCATAATGTAGTCCCCCAATGGACTTAGTTGATGCATAGCTTGATGCTTTCATTTAATAGTCCACATATGCGGTGTTGCCTTCTAACCGCTTAGCTTAAGCCATGGGAACCCCTCGTGCAAGGTTGAACCCAAACCAAGCACTTGAGTTGGCACATGAGGCCTTTGGTGGTGACTCGATAGCCCATTCGATCTAAAACAAGTCCCCGAGATGCCATAACACGTGACATAAGGATGATAACGTGTTAAACCTCATCCTTGGGAGGCACGCACCGTGCTTACATTATTGCACCGTCCACGGGGCTCCCAAATCCACGTGGAGTTGAGGGAGCCAGACTCCCACCTTTCCCACAGTGCTACTGAGGTACAACCTTTTGTTTATGCTTTACTGCCTTTCATCCGATTGTTTGGCACTGTCTTTCCTCTAATTCTCATCTAATTCACTCTTTCTTTGCCATAGAAGGACTCCCGCTCCTGTAGGGGTTACGGGGCAGTGATAGCCAGGGATTGGTATCACGAGCTCCCTCTTCGGTCCACGACCTTGTCGATGAGGTAGGCTTTAGCTTACTTTGCATTGGGCTTACGCGCCACATGGCTAGTCGGGCCTTACTCGGAGCCTTAGTGGAGAGGTGGTGGGATACCACCAACTCCTTCCATTTCTCTTCTGTTAGGGAGATGACGATGACCCCTTATGACTTTTTGATGATCACAAGCTTAGGAGTAGGGGGTGATCCGATCCCTTTCGACATGGACATGGGTGAGTGAGAAGCGGCTTGGATTTACCTGCTCAGAACGAGCCCGCCTCTATACAAGCTAGCTATGGTGTGATACAGTTAGTTCCTCGAGCGCTTCCGCTGGAGTCAACCTGAGACTCAGGAGGAGGTAAAGCAATGCACTCGGGGTTTCGTGATTTACCTTTTCGGTACCACCTTGTTCGTGAACAGGTGGAATACCATGGGTTTGTACTTGTTTAGTGCCCTTGTGACTCTGCCCTGGGTCCAGTTTTACGACTGGAGTGGAGCTGGCCATGCGACACTCTACGGCTACATGAGCTCCAATTCCCACATGAAAGGAGATAGAGTTGAAGGCTACTAGAGAGCCAGGAAGGTATGCACTGCTCTTTCAATTCTGTTTCTTCTTATGCTTTCTGCTTTGCATTTTCTACCTTTATATTGTTCATGCATTGTGCTTTATGTTTGATATTTGTTGATTCACACCGCTGATCGTTTCCTGCAATTGAGGGTTTATGCTTATCTCTCGGCCCTTGCCCCAAAGCTGATGGACGAGATTGTCCTGGTTGTCACACCCCAAATCCGGGTATGATCGGTCGTGGCCCACAGGGACTTAGCCCAAGGCACACGTAAGCCTAAACATGAATCCAAAACCATAAAGAATAAATGTGATGATAGCCCAGAAATAAATAAATCAACACTCAATCCAGTGACATACCACAAGTGAAAAACAAGTCATAACCAACTTCCTAAAAATATATATATACTAAATGGGACACAAACCGCCCACAAAATAAAATAATTCTAAATAAAACCCAACCACAATGTATGCACAAAACTCGACAAAGCAACCTAAAACAAATTAAATAAATGTCCTAGAGGTCCATGCAATTAAGTCCCCGCTACGCCATGAGTCCACTCTAAGTCCTTCTAACACTTGGAAATGGTAAACAACTAAATCAGCTGATAGCTCAGTGAGTAGCAACATGGATAGTAAATACAGTTTTGAAAACAGGGTTCAATTCCAAAATCAAATATATATCACAGAAACTAGATTGGCATACAGTTTGGTAAATACAATCTGTTTCAAAAAGAAGGTTCCACAATTCAACACTTAAAATACTCATGTCTCGCAAGAACATGATGAACGACATTTTCCACTTAAAACATATTATAACATGAACATCAATAATTTTCTGGGTACCAAGAAAAACAAATAATATGCCACACAGTTCTCAAGGCTATAAGCTCCGTTGGATCCAATACCAAACTAAGAGTCATCCTCAGGGTGGTACCTGGGCCTTTTTTCAAAGACGATCCGATTGAAGGTCACCTAGTTGTTTTTAAAGGTCTTTTCCTTACAATCGTTGAGCACTAGAGTCATCACGGCCCAACCCGGATCTGTTCCCTAGTGGCCAGAGTCACCACACACAGTGGAATAATTCCCTGGACTAAATACACACATGGTCCCAATAATCAATACACATCAGTTTCGCAAAACATGGTAGTTTATCATTATAAACATAAGACCAAAACAAATAGTTTACAGTATGTCAAGTTCACACATGTTTCAGAAATAATTTGATTCAATTGATAATATAATAATTTATCAAAACAGTTTAATCATGAAGGTAGGGGAACATTTATAAAAATATGTAGCATGAAACTACTCACCTGAAAACAAAATAATATAACCCTCGAATAGAGTGTAAAAGTCCAACTAGTGGCCTGAACCAAGTATAAAAACTACACGTCACAACTAATTTAAAAATACTAAAAAAAATAGGAACTAAGTAACCTCAACTAAAGTGCACTAACATGGCTCAACCCAACTCACCGTTACTCTTAAACGTTACCTAAGTTCATGTTCTTCAAGGTTTAAAATCACCCAAGACATGGGTTTCGGTCAAAACTTAATTAATTGTGACTTTAAGATAAAATAGAATTTCAAACAAGCCTTTCCAACCTATTCGTTAACTTTGAAAATTACAAAACCCACTCCACGCTATTCGAAAAATTCCAATAACTTCCAGATATGATCTAATATATCCTAAGTTTCAAACCTAATTGGTTTCACTTGATTTGCTTATCAAAACAATTTTCTACAATTTATTATATCCAAACAGGTTGTTTTCTGCAGCACTTTAAAGAAATTGACGGTTCTCTTAATATACACAAGCAATCAATGCAAGGCCAAAAACGTACAAAACTAGACTCATAACCGGTTCTAATGACACTAATTTGATAATTTTTGGATTTATACCCAAAGAGAACAACACTCCCGAATTTACTGTTTCGGACTGGTTTCCTGGACAGATTTGAATACCTCAATTTATATGGATTTCGACTCTCAAAAATTATGAAAAAAATCAGATATGCAATTCAATATGTAATTGATCTACTGTAAAAATTTCAGATTAAAATTCATCCGTTTGATATGGTTTCTTGATTTTTAAAGTTTGCGATTCTGTGCAGAATTTTTGAACTAAGAATTATACCCATTCTTTACACATAAATTTAGCTCCTCAGATTTCTTAACAGTGTATACATATATATACAAAATACATAAACCTACAACCTCTCCATGAATGAATAAAATAATTATAGAATAAGGATGAAGAACAAAGAAAGAAGAGAAGGAAACTTAGGAGGGCTAACCTTTGATGATCACACAACACAACACACCCAAAAGTTCTTTGATTGCAACATCTTCTTTTTTT